ATGTTTGCCATATATATGCTGTGCTCCGCCCTGAGTCCCCTTTGGGGTGAGAAGGGCGGAATATAAATGTTTTAAATAAATGTTTTATTTATTTAAAACATTTAAAATAAATGTTTTAAATAAATAAATAAATATTGATCTACTCACATTTACATGTTTTCGAATGCTAGGTTGGCAGAAGCTGGGCCTAAAAGCAGGAGCTCACCCCACTCCCCAGATTCAAACCACCAACCTTTCCATCCGCAAGTTCAGCAGCTCAGTGGTTTAACCCCTCTGCACCAACAGATATGCTTGAGAGAAAGATATCATAGCAGATTTGAATCCATGCACATCTATATTCAGACTTTTCAGGCTCAAGGAGCTATTGACATGAAGACTAGAAGCCTAACCGAGGCAAAGACGAAGTAAGTGAAGCTCATTAGGACTAAACAAACAGCTCTAGGTGATGTTTTGAAGTTCACTTATGAATAATAGAAGCAATTGCAACCTCTTCCAACCCCGTTGTTGATTTTGGTCCTGAGTCAGTGGTGTGAGCGTGACCAACATGCTTTGTGTGGCTGTCTTCATATGATCTTCTTATTGTCTGTCTTACCCAATACAGACTTCATTTATGGCTCTGCATCTCAGGCTGTCAGTTCTGACATTATACACAGTTGCCATTTTCAGACAGGGATGATTAAATCATCATTTGGAATTGCATGACTGACAGCACAATTCAGGAAGTTAACCGAAAAACATCTCTCCAATTTGGCTGCTTCCTATGGCCAGAATAAGAGCATTGCTGAAACGAATGCTGGAAAGAGATGTTTTTATTCAGATGGTTAAATTAGGCAAAGGTGTAACAGAGCCAGAACTCACTGGGTCAGAGCTTAGTGATATATAAACACTAGGTAGAAAGAGAAGACATCAGGGTTGTCTGGATTCTGTTCTCCTACATATCTGTTTTGAAAACATAGGGTGTTTCTCTACTGTAAAATGGATGCAGTTTGACACCACTTTAACTGTCATGGCTCAAGGATGTGGAATCCTGGGATTTGTAGTTTGTTGAGGCATTAGCACAGTGGTTCTCAACCTTCCTAATGCCGTGACCCCGTAATACAGTCCCTCATGTTGTGGTGACCCCCAACCATAACATTGTTTTTGTTGCTACTTCATAACAGTCAGATATGCAATATGTATTTTCATTCACTGGACCAAACTGGGCACAAAAACCCAATGCACCCACATGTAAATGCTAGTTAGATGCCTGCACATCTAGAACAGGAGGGGACAATTTGGGAATGAGTTTTTAAGGTTTTTTTTCATATTGTGACATACACATTTAAAAATAAATCAAAATATACATGGCAGTCAGCTGGTGACAATGGAGAAGGGGAAAGCCTGCTCATAGAAAGGAATGGTGAGAGCATAGAATGTGATGGCACACTCAAGTCTATGGGAAAACTATAGTGTCTGGCTTTACTCGGGGGCTATCTGTATATCTTCTGTTAAGATTAAGACCCTTAGCAGACAGAGGCACTTTAGGCAAGGTGAAAAAATAACCAAAATGTGTTTACTGCAAACAAGATGAATAAAGGGTTAACTCCACCTGGGACTCTCATAAGGTAACTTAAAACAGTACATTACAAAAGGAGCCTTTGCTGGCTGAAGTCATCTCTCTGGGGTCTTTGAAGGCTTCCTGACTCTGGTGCAAAGCGATGGTTATAAACTACCTCAATCTTCTTACTTGTGAAGCATAAGTTGGTCATAAGCTTCTGTTGTCCTTTGGACTGATGGCATAAAAATACTGCTGAATGCAGGTGCTAAGGATGCCTGTTTGAATTGCTTGGGCCTAGGATTACCAAACAATCCCAAGCATAAATCACAATAGCTCTCCTGTAGAAAAGAGGGAGGAGTCCAGCAAAGATCTCTATACAGGGAAATGGAATAGACCAACTAAGGTTGGTATCTGAGGGGGTGTTATACTCCATCAAAAAAACTAATACAAAGGGGAAATCTATGAACAGGGGGAACTAAAGCAGAGGAGAGGAAAAGGCAGAGCCAAAACTTCACATAGAGTTAACTAGAGGGTGCACGAATACATAAAAGTGAGACAACTTTCATTTTAAATACTCTATATACAAATATATAAAAATGTCTATTTGTTCTGCAGATGAATGTGAAAGAAATTCAAAGCACAGTTATTACTTTCATAGGCAAGTCAATATCTTTCTATGAAAAAAATATGTTTAAAAGATGATCAGCTGCTAGAAAATTAACGCCAGGTGACAGGATGTCCTCATATATTCTCACCAAATACCAAAGACACTCCAAGTGACCAGCTTCTGGTCAAAGGATATTTAGCATAATGCCAAGTTCTTTCTTTGTGTTTTTAAATGTATTTTAACTGTACCCTCAACTCACTTTTGACATGACAAATAAATAAATAAATAAACAAATGCCTTCAATGACACTGGACACTGAAGTTACTCTGAATTTGATGCAGATGACTTACATCAATTTGTTCTTTTATTTTTCTCTTTCATAGATGCCATGTTTTTTGGAAGCTTGTTTAGATCAATAGTAAGAATTATATGTCACCGGGAGGCTTGGGGAGATGCTTAGGTGGGATTTGGCCAAAAAAGAAATTTGGGAACCATTGCTTTTGATCCTTCCCCTGATAGCCAACTATCTTCAGGGATGATGGTAGACATAGAAAATTATTTTAAATTAAGCCCAGCCATTGGTCCATGTACTTTAACTTACTTAGGTGATCTATTATTGTCCGAGTATGATGGCCTTCCAAGTGTAGTGTCTTGGCAGGGGGTCCATAGGTGACTGTGGAGCTTTATTCTTGATCCACATGTTCTTCCACAGCGAGGGCATCAATTTCCAGGTGGAAGGCAGTCCCAGTCAGGGTTGGCTTGACATGCCTTCTTCTTGGCACATATCTCCCTTTCACCCTCCGTTCATGCATCTTTGAATTCCACAGCATTGCTGGCCACAGCTGACATCCAGTTAAGAGTGCTCAAGGGCCAGAACTTCCCAGTTCTTGGTGCCTATGCCACAATCTGTTCTTGAGTTGGGAGTATAGTAACTCCTTTGGGAGATGGTGATTGGACATTCGGACAACAAGTCCAGTCCAGTGGAGTTGATGGCATAGGAGCATCGCTTCAATGCTGGTGATCTCTGTGAAGGGACTCGGGGCAGCTTATAAGGCACTTCAGGGTGCACATATAACATACAACAGGTAAAAATGGTACAAAAGTATAAAACAAGTCACATAAAATTATAACAACCCTGTCAACACATGTAGCATCTATCTGTCTGTCTGTCCGTCCGTCCGTCCATCCATCTGACTATCTATCTATCCATCTATTCATCTATTTATCTGTCTGTCCATCTATCTATCCATCCATCCATCCATCCATCCATTGGTCTATCTATCCATCCGTCTATCTGTCTGTCTGTCCACCCGTTCATCTATGCATCCATCCATCCACTCATCTCTCTGTCTGTCTGTCTATCATCCATCCATCCACCCATCCGTCTGTCTCTCCATCTGTCCATCCATCTATCTATCTATATCTATCTATCTATCTATCCATTCGTCTATCTATCCATCCATCGGTCTATCTATCCATCCATCGGTCTATCTATGTCTCTCCGTTGGTCCATCCATTCATCCATCCATCCATCTATCTATCTTTCCATCCATTCGTCTATCTATCTATCTATCTATCTATCTATCTATCCATCCATTCATCCACCTATCTACCTATCCATCCATCCATCCGTCCATCCATCCATCCATCCATCCACTCGTCTGTCTGTCCGTCCGTCCATCCATCCATCCACCCATCCACTCATCCATGCATGCATGCATCTGTCTGTCTGTCCATCTGTCCATCCATCTATCTGTTTATCTATCCATCTGTCTGTCTGTCTATCTGTCTGTCTATCTATCCATCCATCCATCCATCCATCCATCCATCCACTCGCCTGTCTATCCGTCTGTCCACCCACCCACCCATGCATGCATGCATGCATCTGTCTGTCCATCCGTCCATCTGTTTATCTATCCATCTATCTTATCTATCTATCTATCTATCTATCTATCTATCTATCTATCTATCTATCTGTCTGTCTGCCCATCTATGCATCCATCCATCTATCCATCCACCCACTCGTTTGTGTGTCCATCCATCCATCCATCCATCCATTCTTTCGTCTGTCTGTCTGTCTGTCTGTCTGTCTGTCTGTCTATCTATCTATCTATCTATCTATCCATCAATTCCTTCATTCATCTATCTTTTTTTAAAAAAAAAAACAAACAAACTTTCTTTGTGTTTTTAAATGCATCTATCTATCCATCCATCCATCCATCCATCCATCCATCCATCCATCCATCCATCCATCCATCCATCTATCTATCTATCTATCTATCTATCTAAGGATTACATGCTTCCTTAAATATGTTGACAAACATTTCTATCTGGATTGCTTTCCACCTCTCCAGGGGGAAAGGGGGGCGGATAGAAATCAACCTGCCCAGGCCTGTTGCGAGAGACGTTTCTCCTCTCCTCCCCATCGGTATTAATTAGTTATTGTGTCGTTTGCCCCTGTACTCCCCAGCCAATGTCCCCCTCCCCTGTCCCGCAACAAGGACATATGACAAACACTTCCTGTCCTCTCCTTCCAATACAGGTGAGGAAAAACAGACGTGCCTGAACCTGTCGGAGGCTTGCCTTTAGCCTTCCGACTCTTTCCACTTCCATTGGGAGGAGAAGAAGAAAGGGGGGGAGAGGGATTTGGGGCCGGTGGGCGGGGCCTCCGACTTCAAAGATGGAGCGATGCTTATCTTTAATGAGGGATGTCCCCAGGGGCTCCTGGACGCGTCACTAAGGGCTCTGGCCAATCAGAAGGAGGGAAGGGAGGAGTTTTGGACATGAAAGGAGACCAAGGGGGGGGGGGCGAGGAATACCCCTCGGGCGCCTTCCTCCCTTTGGCCTCCCCCCTCCTCCTCCTCCTCCTTTCTCCAACGCGGAGGAAAGAGACGGCGTTTGTGTCGGCTTTTCCAATGGCACTGAAGCAGTCGAGGAAGAGAAGGCGCCGCTCGGCTTGCTGAGCCTGCGACTATGTAGGCAATTCTTGCATCTGGATGCCGCCGCTCTTCCCTTCCCAGCCGAGGTTTGGATGATGACGATGAACTCTTTGGCGGAGAGTTTGCTGGCGGGACCTCCACCCCCGGACCCTTCCAAAGCGGCCTTTTTGGACTTCGGGCTGGGAGCACCCCCGCCTTCGCCTCATCACCCAGCCCCACAGCAACAGCAGCAGCAATACACCCTCCAAGCCTTACAGCCGCTGTCCGACGGAGGAGCCTTCCCTCCTTCCTCCTCCTCCTCCTCCGCCTCTTCCTCCTACGGCAGACCCCTGGCCTACCCTGCTTACCCCGGGGCAGGCGGGGCGGGCAGCCCCCACCACGCTTTCTACCCCCACCACCCCTACCACGGCGCCTCCTACTCCTCGCCTTACCCGCAGAGCTCCAGCGCCTTGAGCCTCCACGGGACGAGGCTGGAGGAGACCGGTAAGGACAGGCCCGGGGCTGGGCAGGGGATCCGGGAAGCCCACTACACCCCCACCCCCCAAATGTCATTGTATGTCGCTAGTCCTCCTTGTCAAGCGAGCCGACAATAGAGGAATCCCTTTTTCCTACTTCCAACAGACCTCACTACCTCTGAGGAAGCTTGCCATAGATGCAGGCGAAACGTCAGGAGAAAATGCCTCTAGACCATGGCCATATAGCCCGAAAAAAACTACAACAACCCAATAGAGGACTCTTCACTGGTGGCTCTGGCTAGATGGGAAAGCTCTCTCCCCCTATTAAAGTTATTGTTATAGACGATCCTTCTCTGTCTAGGCCCCCTTTTGGAATCCGCCTGGAACCTTATTATTATTATTATTATTATTATTATTATTATTATTATTATTATTAAGGCTTTCATGGCCGCAATCGCTAGGTTGTTGTAGGTTTTTCGGGCTGTATGGCTATGTTCTAGAAGCATTCTCTCCTTAGTTTCACCTGCATCTATGGCAGGCATCCTCACAACCTCTGATGATGCCTTCCATAGATGCAGGCGAAACGTCAGGAGAGAATGCTTCTAGAACATGGCCTGAAAAACCTACAACTCATTATCATCATCATAATCATCATTATATTTCACTATTATTATATTTGTTATTATTATATTATTATTATTATTAATTATTATTATTATTATTATTACTATTATTATTATTATGGTTGTTATACTCCAGAAACTATAATCATCATCATTATATTTCACTACTATTATAGTTATATCATCATCATAATTATATTTCACTATTATTATATTTATTATATTATTATTATTATTATTATTATTATTATTAGTAGTAGTAGTAGTAGTAGTAGTAGTATGGTTGTTATACTCCAGAAACTATCATTATCATCATCACCATCATCGTTATATTTCACTGCTTATTAGAGCCCCAGCTTCTGCCAACCTAGCATTTCTAAAAAAATGCAAATGTGAGTAGATCAATAGGTACCGCTCCCTCGGGAAGGTAAGGGCGCTCCTTGCAATCATGCCGGCCACATGACCTTAATAATAATGGTTGTTATACTCCAGAAACTATTATTATTATTACTATCATCATCATAATTAATATTTCACTATTATTATATTTATAATAATAATAATAATAATAATAATAATAACAATCGTGAAATATAATGATGATGATGATAATGATGATGATAATAATAATAATAATAATGAAATATAATTATTATAATAATAATGGTTGTTATACTCCAGATACTATCATCATCACCCTTATATTTCACTATAATAATAATAATAATAATAATAATAATAATAATGGTTGTTACACTCCAGAAACTATAATAATCATCATCATTATAATATTTTACTACTATATGTATTATTATTATTATTATTATTATTATTATTATTATTATTGGTTGTATACTCCAGAAACTATCATTATATTATTATTATTATTATTATTATTATTATTATTATTATTATTATTATATTAATAATGATGATAGTTTCTGGAGTATAATAACCACTTTCCAGGTATGTACTTCCCAATTAAACAGGAAATAACACTTTCAAAACAGGAATAAATCTTTTTTCAAATTTTGATTACATCCTGTAATAGTAATCTTGGCTGATACCTCTAGAGAGAAGGGGAAGCTGTATCTCCCTATTCAATTATTATTATTATTATTATTATTATTATTATTATTATTATTATTATTATTATTAGTGTCTGGATGGTAACAACCACTTTCCAAGTAAGCCCCGCACAATTCAACAAGAAATAACACTTTCAAACCAGGAACAGAACTTTTTTCAAATTTTGATTACAGGAATCTTGGCTGATGGCTTTGGCAAGAAGGGAAAGCTGTATCCCCCTATTAAAATATTATTATTATTATTATTATTATTATTATTATTATTATTATTATTATTATTATTATTATTATTTTCTAGAGTATAACAGCTACTTTACAAGTAAGTCCCGCACAATTAAACAGGGACTAACCCTTTCAAACCAGGAACAGAACCTGTTTCAAATTTGGATTGCATGGTGTTAATAGGAATCTGGGCTGATGGTTCTGGCGAGAAGGGACAGTTGTATCTCCTATTCAAACGATGATGATGATGATTAATTATTATATTATTATTATTATTATTATTATTATTATTATTATTATATTAGTAGTAATAGTAGTAGCAGTTTCTAGAGTATAACTATTACTTTCCAAGTACGTACCGCACAATTAAACAGGTAATAGCCCATTATTATTATTATTATTATTATTATTATTATTATTATTATTATTATTATTATTATGTTTATTTCTCTCCATACGGAGACCCCAAGCAGCTCAAAATAAAAAGCATTACAATACCACTTAAAATATACGAATATACAAACATTAAAACAGTATTAAACCTCATTAATATTAAAACCAATTCAGAACAAAACCATAAAAATAATGTTTCAAACCAGGAACATTATTTTTTCCCCAGGTTTTGATCACTTAGTGTAATAGGAATCTTGGCTGATTACTTTGGCGAGAAAGGAAAGCTGTATCTCACAATTAAAATTATTATTAATTGTATATTATTATTATTATTATTATTATTATTATTATTATTATTATTATTATTATGGTATTATTATTCTATTTGTTTATGTACCGCTTTTTCTCCTAAAGAGACTCAAAGCCATGAACAAGGGTTCAAAACAACTCCTTGTATCATTTAAAACTATTCACCATGCAAAACGATTTTGGTTCTTGGGTTATAAATGTCATTTCCTGATTGGTTCTATCATTAAAAACATGAAAACAAGTTTATTGAGCTGCAAAAAGGTTTTGTTTTTGCAGGACATCCTGCGATAGTTTTTCAATGAATCTCTCATTAGTCTCAACCAATTCGACATAGTTTGTGGCAGCCACAAAACCGAAGTTGTCTGGAGTATAAAAGCTATTTTCCCAGAGAGTGTATCCCCATTAAATGATCCTTTCAGAAGGTGTCCCCATAAATGATGTTCCCAAAGAGTGCCCCCCGTTAAACGGGTATCCCTATGACAAGGTGCTCTTCATGAAGCGTGTATACCTTTAAGTGACGCCTCAAATAGATATTCCTATTAGCTGTGTATCCCTATTAATTGTTTTCCCCCATAAGTGATGCTTGGAGAGATTACCCCCTTTAAGAGTTGTATCCAGAGCTTTGAATGTCTATGGAGAGGATCCCAAAGGGTTGTCCCTTTAAGAGTGGATCCCCCCACAGCCTGTTCCCGCAGCCAGCCGCTAATTCGGATTAAAATCCTTTATGGTATGGAAAATGTGTGCAGAGGGCAGAAAACACATTTGGCTGCATGTAAGAACTGTACCCTCTCTTCTCAAACTGGAGGGAGAGTCTTTGCATGGAATGGGGAGGAAAGCAAAGATATAAACTACTATTTTCAATACTATTGATAGTTGATTCTGTTTTAATGTTTGTATATGTATTTATTTTTAAATTGTATTGGAATGCTTTTGTTGTAGGCTTCTTTGAGGGCCCTATATCCCAGGATCTGATCCCAGGTTTTCTGCTTTAAACTGGATTATATGAGTCCGCACTGACAGATAATCTGGGATAAACAGAAAACCTGGGATCAGATCCTGGGATATAGGACCTGTCTGGAAGGGCCCTGAGTCTCTTTGTGGAGAGAAAAAGCAGGGTATAAAACATAATAATAATAATAATAATAATAATAATAATAATAATAATAATAATAATATCATCATCATCATCATCATGATAATACTTCTATATAAATAAAAATGTAATGTTCGTTTGTGGGATTAGCATAACTCAAAAACCACTGGGCGAATAGACACTAAAATTGGACACAATACACCTATCAGGCCAACAAGTGATCATCACTCATAAAAACATGGGAAAACACAGCAAAAGAGACTTAAAAATCCAAAAAACAAAAAAAAACATTACAAGACATGGACAAAACCACACACATATATAGGCAAACACACATATACACAAATATAAAACACATATACACAGACTGAGCTACAGCAACGTGTGGTAGGGGACGGCTAGTATATAAATAAAAATGTAATGTTTGTTTGTGGGACTAACATAACTCAAAAGCCACTGGACAAATTGACACCAAATTTGGAAACAATACACCTATCAGGCCAACGAGTGACCATCACTCATAAAACACTGAAAAACACAATGGAAGAGATTTAAAAAGCCAAAAAATAAAAAATACATTACAACACATGCGCAAAACCACATATATACACATATGCACAAATATAACACACATATATACACACACAAAACACATATATACAGACTGGGCCACAGCAACAGGAGGCAGGGGACAACTAGTATATAAATAAAAATGTAATGTTCGTTTGTGGGACTAACATAACCAAAAAACCACTGGACAAATTGACACCTATCAGGCCAACGAGTGACCATCACTCATAAAACACTGAAAAACACAGCAGAAGAGATTTTAAAAGCCAAAAACTAAAAATTACATTACAATGCATGCACAAAACTACACACATATATATGCAAATATACATATACACATATATACAAATATATACACACATATATACACACAAAACACATATACACAGACTGGGCCACAGCAACGCGTGGCAGAGGACCGCTAGTAATTATAATAATAATAAACACGATAATAATAATATATTACACAGTCCTAAGTGCTTGGGAAGTGTTTGATTTGTGATTTTGTGATAGGATAGGAAAAGCAGCATATATATCTCTTTGCTGTGTCATACTGTGTTTTTGTGTCAGTAAAATAATAATAACAATATAGCAACTTGGAATACTTTGGGGGTGATGTAGAAGGCCCCTTCTAGGCCCCATCGACATTGCCAAATAAAATCCAGATTATCTGCTTTAAACTGGATTATATGACAGTGTAGGCACACATAATCCAGTTCAAAACAGAAAA